GGACAGCTGACCCCAACTGCCCCAAGGGATGTGCCAGAGCAGCTGGGCAGGCATCCCGCTGCCCCGAGGATCCTCGGTCGAGCCAACGCCAGCCAAGCGAAGGTGACGCAGGCCTGGTAAAGCCGCCGGGCAGGGCTGGGAGCAGAGGCCGGGCTGCACACGCCTCCGTGGAGCTCCTGGTGCGTGGGCAGTGCAGGGAGAGGGAATTACCCATGGCAACACAGAGAAACGGACTTAAATACTTCTACTACTTCACTCCCCAAGATGTTTTCAAGTCATTTTTTTGTCCTAGAGCTGCTAGTCCCACAAAACCCCAGCGTTCGGCCTGCCACCACGCGGTAAGCTATGAGCTGGTGAGGCATGGTTAGTGTGCAGGATCTTTCTTCCCCCCCTCTTCTCAAACACACTCACTCATTCTCTCTGCGGGCACGCAAACAAACGCTCCGAATGAGACGAGAGCTCACGGGGGGTTTTCCAGTTGGCGTGTAAAGCGCCAAGTACCGCCCGTTACAACGCGACAGCGGCGTGCTGAAGCTGTACGTTGTTGGCCATGGTGTTTACGGGACTCGGGGAGTTCTGCTGCTGCCGAGTTCACCTCCCGAGCTCCTAAGGCAGCGGGTGTAGGGCGTCTCAATCGGCCTCGGCTGCGCGGGGCGCACGAGGGAGCACGCTGGCCCTCAGAGGGGAAGAGGCCTGCGTGGTGGCTGCCCACCGGACACTAACGATCACCTTCTCAGCCACGCGCGCGCCCACCCTACGGCTGCGCTCCCTACGCACCCTACTGCGGAACCGGACTGTCTCCCACCCGTCAGACCTTCACACATCACAGCCCACCTCCTGGGCAGGGGGCCGTAACGCCCCCCTCGCGGGACAAAGAAGCCACGTCCCAGGATCACGGGAAGCTGGAGGCTTAGCAAGGTGCTGATCCAGCTCTCCCGATCCCAGACTGCGGCTATCCTCTGGAGTAGCGTTTTTCCTAGAAGCTACTTGTAGGCTCTGAAGGTTGGCCTTTCCACCCGCAGCTGGGAAGAGGCATGTGAGAACCCAGCCGTGTCAAAAGACAACGGCCCAGGGCACCTAAATCCTTCTGAAAAAGCCGGGCTACAGATGAACAGCAACAGACCCTCAGAACTCAGGCACAGATACACCCGGCCTGGCTCTGCGATGGTTCCACACTACTACGTCATTTACGTGTCTGCAGCAGCAGCTTCACCTCTCACTTCCTGAGGCTGGTTTTCAAAGAATAATCCTTCCTCCCAGCGCACGACGAGATCCCTACCTGAAAGCTGTTCTTTTCTCCGCTGCTGTGGCTCTCGATTTCCAAGGCTCTATGACTGTCCTGAGGCGTCTGGGAACGAGGAGGGCTGCACAGAAAGAGAAGCAAGAAATAACTCATTAGCAGGTTTCCTTTGCATCCAAACCGGCCAGGCCAGCCAGTCCTGCCTCCTACTCTCCAGCTTGAGTCCTGTAGCTCCTTTTCTTTTTTAAAGAATCATAGAATCATAGAATGGTTTGGGTGGGAAGGGACCTTAAAGATCATCCAGTTCCAACCCCCCTGCCATGGGCAGGGACACCTTCCATAGCCCAGGTTGCTCCAAGCCTCATCCAGCCTGGCCTTGACGAAGCTTTAGGCCACAGACTTCGCAGCCCGTCAGAATCAAACAAATGAACTAGTAACACTGACTGACAACCCACAGCAGATGCAAATTGTTTTGCTGTGTCACACTCCCAAAAATCTGCAGTTTTGTAAACTAAACACAGGACAATTCTTCAGCAACTGCCTAAGAGCCATGAACCCGTACATTACAAAACAGGAGGTGCCTTTCCTCACCGACCCTCGGCACTCCCGCTGCAGGCAGCAGCGTCAGTGGCACCACGGGCTCCGACAGCGCTGACACTGCCTGCACAAGGACTAATCCCTCCGGGACGGCCACGCGGGGCTCAGGGGTACGTTATTCTCTAGCACAAGGCTGCTGCCCGCGCGCAAGCGGCACCCGGGTGAGGTTCAGCTGCTGCCGCTGGACTTCCAGGTGGGGAGACGCCAGAACCCCAAACTCCATCCACTGGATCCCTCTCCCCTGTAACTTCCTTGCCTTTCAAACACGCACTGCCCTCCCTCTTCCTCTCCACGGGTGTGGGCGTGCAAGCGCACGTGCGCGGGGTAAGCGAGCGTGTCCATGTCCCTGCCTCTCGGCACGAACGCGGCCCGGTGCGGCCGCGACCTTTACGTCTGTCAGTGAGGCGTTCTGTTTACCTGTCGCAGTGGGAACTTCCTCTTGAACTGCTTCTTCCAGATTCGTGTTGAGCATCAAGCAGTATTTTCTCCATGTCACCATTGTGAATGGAAATAGAGGCTGGCACTTGCTCTTGGCCCGTCGGAGCGACGGCGTTCCCGCTGCCGTTTCCGTTACTGCTGAAGTGGAGCTCCACCCAGGAACCTGCTTGGCGGGACCGAAAGCAGAGGAAGAACAAAGCGCGTGGTTTGGTGGGGAAGGCAGGCACCAGACGAGAGCGCCGTGGCACGCCGCAGCACTGGTGTCTCGGCTCACGAACCCCGACATGCGGGGGTGTTGGTGAGGGAGCCGGAAGGTCTCGCAGAGCTCGAGAAGCGGGCCAGAACCGCGGCTCCGCGGCTGGAGGTTGTTTGTTTCAGGCAGTGTTTAATTTTTATTGTCGATGAGTTTAATTCTTACTGCTCGCCGCAGGTGGGAGCCAAATTAAACCATCCCAAGGGCTCTCTCTGCCAAATTTATTAATTTATTGAAAATATGTTAGGCTTACAACCCCAGTAAGTGTGGTTTGTTTAGCCTTTTCTCAGTAGGCGTTTCTAGGAGTTCCTGTTAAGCAACAGCGGGTATGTGGCAACGGCCCGGTCATGTGTTTGCTACTTGCAGTATATTTAACACGCAGGGTCACATGCTACCCTGTTTTCTTAAGAGCGCGCTGAACAACAACTCTCTCCTGGGGCAGCAGTAACCAAAGCACAACAGGGCCTGTATCTGCCCTCTCATTTAGAAATCCGCTCGAGGGACAGATAATGTCTCAATCAGGTGTCAGTGGAGTTTACCCACATCACACATTGCCGGGTGTGAACAACAGAAGTGCATGGATGTACTGTGCCTGTCCTACAACAGTTTCCAGGGAATACAACAGCACAGGAGAAAGGGCAGGGGAAACTCCCCCGCATCCGGTGAGCACAGCAGAAAGGATGTCTAAGGCATGAGCAAGGAATTTTTTCCTGCTCCAGGGGAAGAGAGGCTGGAGGAGAGCTCAGGAAGAAAGTCACGTTCAGAGGAACAGCAGGGAGGAAGGAGCAGTTTTAAGGGTACGCAGAAGGCACCGCAGAGACCTAGCGTGGCGTATGAACATCAAGCGAAGATGCTGCGGTTGTGAGGAGAGTGAAGGTGCACACATGAAAACACCAAAAAGCCAGCCCGTGCTGGGAACGCTTACGCCGCTCCCATAAAGAGCCAGAGGGCCACGAGATCCTTAATGGAAACGTACTGGGCCACCGAGTTCTGAAGAGATGTTTTTCTGGCTAGCCTCCTGCTTCACAACTGTGCTGTTGTTTTGGTCGGTTTGGTTTTTGTCCCCTCCAGGTCACTGTATGTGGTACGCGTCTGGGTATGTGCTTACACCCAAACGCTGCCCCACTCCCTCCCCCAGCATTTGCCAAAGCCCACGTTGTCACCAAAGGACGATCCCAACCACCGAGTTCCAACTGCGGCCATGTCCAACCGCGGGTCTGGCTCCAGCCACCTTGGAAGCACCAAGCTCCCAGCCTGCCCGTCCTTACGCCCCAACTTCTGCTCCTCTCCTTACAAAAGCAGAACAGCCCCGCGCTACAACCGTCCGTATACACGGCCACGAGCCGATTTCCCCGGTCAAGCGTCGCGCTGTCTGAGGGCCGCCCACGTTTCAGCCATTGGCACCAGAGGCTGTTGGCGCGGCCGCACAGCACCGCTGCCCAGCGCGGCCCGAGAGCCCGCAGCACGGCAGCTGCACGCCAACACCTGGGCAAGGTGCAGATTCTGACAGGAGGGTCGCAGCACACCTTTTTACACACGTCCTTTGGGTCTTTTCTTTCATTGTCACACAATCTTGAGTGTAAGGTTGTGCTAGTGCACTGGGAACGTGCTGTTACCTTATTGTTTAAAGATAAAAGAGCCTGTATTTTTGTGAAATTGGAAATATAAGCAGATAAAACCACGTGTGAGGTGGCAACGCAAACTGAGCAGCCCAAGTCGTGGGGAAGGGTTTTGAAGAGACCGATCTTACGTGATATTCCAGACCAGGGTACCTGCCGTGGCAGCACAGATTAGCATTAAAAAGGGCACTCGATCAGCTCTGGAAATCTGTAGTCCTTAATATGTGGCTTTCAAGACTGGAAACAAAAGAGCAAAGTTCACAGGAAGATGGGAAGGTCCCAAAATCACCGTGTCAATCGCAGTTTAATACGTGGTTGCACACAGATCTTTCACCTTTGAGGTCAGTTTGCTTCCCCCATCTGCTAAACACGCAACGGACCCTGATCCCTCAACGGCACATCCCTAGCTGTGCAGGAGGTTTCTTCGGACGAGGGAGGGCTGACATTCACCACAGATCTCACGAGGAGCCCCACAGCCCTGCCACCACGGCTGCCTGC